TAAAGACACACTCCGCACAGGATAAAAGACAAGGATGGACTAAAATGACAAAGAAGAAGCAAGAAGTGAAATACTTAGAGCTATTAAACACAGTCCTCAGAAACGGCCATTCTGCCCTGATGGGTTAGAAGATTTCAGATTATTCCTTATCTCTTCCTGATGAAAGCTCAAATACGTGATTACAGAACAAGCATTAGAAAATAAGCAGAAGAGAGGTAGTGCTCTTGATTGGCAATTCAACAAGTAGGGAATATAGCTCTTCAGATGCCGTACTGGGAATATTTCTCAGTGCCACCACTAACGGTATGAAAGAAATAATTAAGACAATTGCAGGGAAGGGAAAAGGAGTTAAGGAATATAGTCTTATTATCCATATTAGAACAAACCAGGTGCAAACTACAAGCCAAAGACTCCAAGGTTAGTTTACAGATCCAGAAAGAACTTAAGGTGGGTGCAAAACAGACGAGTCGCTTGGGAAAAAAATTTCCAAAGCATTAAGGGAAGAAATAACAAGAAAAAAAATAATAATTGAGGTTCCTAAGGAAGCAAATGCTGTCTGTGGTGCCACAAAAGTCAATTAAGACAGTTTTCACCTACAGAGATGGAGCAATCTCCTGGGGTATAAGAAAAAAAATAAAAATCTCATGGGGCATAGGCAAGAGCAGAGATATTGGTTTTGTCCCTCCTCACATTCTGGCACCTTTGTTCATGTTGAAAAAAACCCCAAAAAAACATGTTATAAGAAAAAGCAATTAAAATGTTTTTCAAGAGACAATAGCAGCTTACAAAACATCTCCCAATGAGAAATATGATAAAAGTCATTGAAACTTTTTATGCCATCACATTAGAAAAACAGCAAAAAAGCAATAACAGAGCAGTGAAGAATGAGTTTCACCCAAAGAAATGCTGAACAGCAGGAGCTTTTCTGGATTATTTTAGTTGAGTGTACACATCCATGTCACACCATCACTTCTTACTTAAAAACAGCTGCAGAAGGCTCCTGCTGCGGCTGTTGCCGTTAGCTGAAGCTCTGATCTTCCTGTCTTGATACAAGTCATCAAGTCACATTTCCTGCTGGAATTAAAGTGGCAGCCCCTAGGGACTATGCAGCTGCCCAATTTATATCAGAGAGAATCTGAAGCAAGCACCAGTATTTTTTCAAACTGCTTAATTTTCATTTATTTATTTTTTTATAAACCCCAAATTCTATCAAGAGTTTTCTCCCTCGTCACTCCCCACTTTCCAAGCAGTTGCATTTTGAAACAATTAAAAGAAAACATAGACGTTTCAAGGCCTGTGCACAAAAGCTAGAAGCAGGAAAAACCATATGGGTAAATTCACTGGCATCAAATCGAAGCGTGCCTATAGCATAAAACTGAGCCGAGAGATCAAACAAAAAGCTTCAAGGATATTAGTTATTGCGTCGCTAGTAGTTCAATGGTATGGATGGTATATGAATGCTACAAAGGGTATTTATAAAACAACAAAAGCTGCAGATCATGGCACATAAGCACTTGGAGTCAGAGCAAAAAGAAGAGAGGAACAGGGGAACTGTCCTGGCCAAGTCTCAAACCACCCGGTGCCAGGCAAGGACATCTACAGGGTCATCACTTAAGATGCTAGAAGCCAGAAATGCAGACTACCTTTAGTTCCGTACTTCTACAGTGCTTAACACGGCAAGAACCAGGTCAATGAAGAGTGTTCCTGACAGCTATGATAGGTTATGATAAATAAGAATTTGTAGAAGATCATGTGGCATCCCATTAAGTAGTCTCTGTAGTTAAACAGATATCCATAACTCAAAGAAAATATTACGTTTCCAGACATTCAACACTCCTTAACCATCAAGCTGGGTAAAAACCAGCCTCTCTCTTGCACGCAATTCTTTTTTTTTTTTTAAAAAAAAGTCTGTCATAAAGAATATCAAAACCAAGGCAAAGTTGCTCTGCTTCAAAACCAAAAACCCAAAACCCTCCAAAAGTATTAATCTCATTTTTTTTCAAAGAATAAAAAGCAAATCAAACTAGAGCAAGTTAAATTGTGCATTAGAAGGGCTCTCAGCTAGGTTCCACTTCCAAAATTACTTGAGAGCACATTATAATTAGCAAAGGTATGTGACAGTTTTATACCCCTCTATGATGCATGATTAAAGCCAGGCAGCCCAGTTCTGCACGCCGTCAAAACAGATGTGACAAGAACCACAAGCTGTTCCCAGACAGACTGTGAGAAAGCATAGACAGATAACATTTTGGCCATCAAAGAGGTAAGACACGATACAAAACTAATTAAACCTCAAAACCCCTTGCAGAAGTAGGTAAACTACGTTTTATATGAAGTTATATGAACCATCTTGTGCTTGAGCTGCAGTGCTCCAGCCCAAGAACAAGGATGAGAACAAGCTCCAACCTTCCCATCCGAGGTGCAACAGTGGGTAAAGCCCGCAGCCTAAAGATTAACAGCTCACGGCCTCGGCACGAGGATGCAGAGCACAAATGACTGAAGAAATTGCTGCTGTAATGCCACCGTGACGGTCTGTGAAACTGTGGATTTTTCCCACGCAAGACAGACACCTACTATCTGTCTGCAACAGAAAAATGCAGAGTCCTGTCCCATTGTGAAAAGCCGAAACTAAACTCCACACAAATTCTGCCTCTTACGTTTGCACGTCTTTGTCCGCTGGGCACTCAAAAAATCAATTAGAGGCTCAACTCCTTACTGTTAACTGGGGACAAACTAGGAACAGCGGGGAAGCTGTGCATCAGGCAAGGCCTATGCCTCTTGAACTCGGGTTAGAGGGAACAAAGATGTTGCAAATAATTGTGTAAGGAACAAGGAGAATTTTAGGCTGTAAAAACACACATTCATTTTGGGTAAATATTCCATGGCTGGTTTGTGAGTGTGAAACAAACAGTGGGGCAAGCTTGTTTCTGAGAAGTGTATCCAAGCCATCATTTTTATTCTCTTTTATCTGCTGATTTCCATATTTAGACTAAATCTTAATGCTTCTTCCTTCATGACATCCCTCTGCATTCAGCACTTTTCCCTCTGTTTCCAGGTAGCCTCCCCCATTGCTTCTTCTGCAGAGTTTCAGAGCCCACCTCCCTAACATCCCAGTGGCTCCGGGCAGTTTTCCTGATATATTCCTTCACCCATTTCCACTGCACCGATCCTGCTGTGCTCTTTTCCCCATCTCCTCTGCAGAAGAGACTTTTCTTGTTAGTCCCCTGCCCACCAGGTCGTCCCCTTCGACGGGAGGTGCTATAGAAATGGTGCAGCTGGTTTCTCCTGCAGGCACCTCGTGCTTTCCCTAGCACAACCGTTCGGGTGAGGTGTAAGTTCTCACAACTTCACTACGTGACTTTGCGCTCCTCCATTTCCTACGGCACCTCTGGTACTTGGACAGACACACACCAACAGCTACTTAGGTACCTCCTTGCAGCTTTTGCATCTCGGAGTTAACCAAAGCTGTATTTGCTCAGGCACAAACTGGGACCTACATGCAATACTGAATAAACTACACATCGCTGAGCTGCCAGGTGCATCACGTAACTGTACGTGAGTGTATACCCGTGTGTACATGTGTAACCTTCCCCAGACAGACAATTTGCTAATGCCTAATGACTCACCCGTGATTCATCCCTGAATTTTGTTAGTTAAAACAGCTGAGAAAGGGAAGGGAATTAAACAGTGCAATTGCTAAGTGGACACTCTTAGATCTGGAGAGTTTAGCAGAACCTCACAATGTGAAATTTATAAAATTTATCAAAGACAAATCTTCCGCTGCTTCTACAAGAGTGAGCTGGTTAAGATGGGCAAAACACTTAAGCCACTACTTTCTGGTGTTTCTGGTATGAAGAAATAAACTTGCTGCATGTTTATAAGCAAGATTATAGTGCTCTGTGGCTGTTTTGATGAAGGAGGTATACACAATTGCGTCCCTTTACGATCAAGCCTCTCATCGCATCAGTTTCATTCAGAGACAGTAAAGGTAGTGCAGCTGCCTGGTTCAGGTCCAGATACCCGCTTACAACGAATGTCAACACAGCAAAGTGAGAGAACTTACTTAAGTGGCACATATATATATACAAAATAAACTATATAAATTTTGTTGAACATAATCAGTTTAATTAGAAACAGAGCTTTCAATGCAAGCACCTATGGCTATATGCCTATGCACCAGCCTAAGCCTCTGCACAACAGGGGAATCCTAGGGAGCAGGATTGCTTAACACCTCTTCTAAGCAACTGCAAGTGTTGCCAAGCTGTCTTCGTCTCCACAATTATGCTTTGCTATTAACATGATTTGCAGAAGGACAAATAAAACACACTGCAACAAGTCTTTGTTATCACTGGGAGCACGTTTCACTGCTGAGCAGTGATCCTCTAAAGACTGATGTTCCACAGATGTCTCAATTTGGGACGCTACTTTCGTGGACACTAACAAAGTGTCTCTGGATGTTGAAACAAGACAACGTGTCAAATCACTTTCTAACATCCTGCAACTGAACTGATTTCAATACTCCTCTTACTTCTGAGAAAATAATTACAATTGTCCTTCTGTAAAGCAATGGGATCTTCCATGCAAATGAAGTGGCTGCAGAGCAACAAGTTTTATTCTATGCAATACATATAAAATGTTGAAAACATATGTGATGATTTAAAGACTTAGTGTGATATTGCTAATTTGACCAAATAGAGTGCAGAGCATAACAGCAGATGTGAATGTTCGCTGTACACGCTAGTGCTACAGCAGAGCATCCGACACATTTGCATGGGACCTGAACAAAGAAGTTCACTTAACGACAGGTCTGCAAAATTAAAAACCTGCAACTCAACCCAAGAAGAGCTAGAATTCTCTTCCACTCAGTAAAGCATCTGGCCTGATTGCTGGTGGCTGCCGATCACTGCCATGTCATCACTCTAAAGCCGTGAAACATCCCCACAACCGTGTTAATTAGCTCCCCTTGCAAAGTGCTTAAGCCATAGAGTGAGGTTACTCACGTGATGTCTCTGCGCTGATAGCAACCTTGAAGAAGGCAGGCGATCAGGTCGCTGATAAACTCCACATCATCCCTGTGAAGAGCAGCTTCCAGTTCCTAATGAGCAGAAAGGAGAGAAAAAAAAATTCCAACCATCAAACTAATTCCTTAAAATTTACTGCTAGCTGATCAGGACCAAAAAGACACAAGCAGCTTCAAGTACGTGTACAGCAGCAGAGCGTACGCTGGGTAAGCTGACCTTCCCCATCATTAAAAATACTGCTACTACTACCTCTTCATTGCAAGAGTTTATGGGAAGACCTTGAAAGGCTTTTACTGAATGTCATTCTCCAGCCAGAAGACTAATGCTTTTGTCTGGAAACAGAAAAATAGGGTTCAGTGAGGTTGAGATGCTACAGCCTAATAAGAAAGCCATGATTTCTCCCATGTTCAGCTGATGGGCAGGAATCAACAGTTTCATTCTCCTCCTTTGCTTTCCACTCACTAAGGCTGGTGAGAGCTCATTTAAAAGATGTGCTCAGAGACTGTGGCCCTAAAAGCCACTTACACAGAGAAGTAGCAGTTTCAGATGAATAGCCAGAAATGGCTGAAAGCTAGCAAGCAAATGCCCCAAAGTAAAGCAGGCATTTTGATTATTTAACTTACTTCTCTTTGTTGGGTTTTTTCCCCTCCAGTAAGAGAGAAAGAAAGGATGGAGGGATGTCAGACACCTCATGACCCAAAACCTCAAGCCTTGATGGGAGGGGTGGAGAGTATTTATTATAGCTTATTTCAGCACAATGGAGTTCATGTAAAGGCGCGATGCAGGAACTGTTCCATAAAAAAGATAAACTTCTGAACTGTAGTTATTACGAATTTCACACACGTTGTGAGAAATATCTGGTTTTCAGCCAGCAATTTCAAGCCTTGTTTTCAAAATATTACTAGGTTAACTACAGTTTTATTTATATGCCAGAAAATCATTCACAGTAAGAAAAAGCCACTTCCTATAGGAGTTATCATCACTAGTATACAGCACTTAACAAGATTTAATATGGATAAACAGCATAGGCATAAGAAGTTATTATTTTGGGGTTTCAGAGTAAACAATGGATTGAATACAAATTCCTACTTGAATGTTACTCAACAGACTGTTACACATATGGCTAAGCTAATGGCTACGGAATAAAGGTTAATGGCCAGAGAATAAAGGATAAACGTTTTGGCACTTACCCAATAAAGAAGAGAAAGTGCTTTTTTATTAGACCGCAGTAACTGCGGTAATAAAATTATTGATAACAGATTGCAGATTAAACGCTGCTTGTAGTTTTTTATTGGAAATGTATTAATGGCATATTTTCATTATCAACGCCACTCTTATTTACCTCTTGTGCAACATCTAAAGTGCTTCACGAGTGGAAGCCTGACACCTGCCCCGTGAAGAATGTATTAAACGCATCTATTATATGAGGAAACTCGAGGCAAGGAAAGGGCAGCGGGCAGCCAAAGCCTGACATAGCGTCCCTGCCACAGAGCTAGGAAAAGTCCCAAGAATCTCTGTTCTGGCTTCTGGACGACTACCCTGCTTAATGACAACTTAATACAAAAACTGCAGTTGCTGCTTGCCATGCCTCAGAGAAAGTGATATTATTGTTGTATAAATAGTAATCACACTATATAAATAGCAATTACCTAGTGAATTCACTTGGTAAGCAGTTAATGTTTTGGAGGTGTTGACTTATTTTATTTGTAAATTACTGTAGTGGACAGCTGCCTTCTAACAAAATACACCTGAGAAGGAGGGGAAAAAAAAAAAAAGTATGAGATGTGCTAAAACATCCCAGGTGTGTTACCACAATACACTTGCAGCTTGTCAAAAACAACGTTAGGACCCAGAATAAAGGACAAGGGGGTCTCCAGGATATTGCCCCCATTCAGCCTCTCCCTCATGCACGTACACTTGTGCACTAAATGTCAGGCAGCAGCCTGCCTCTGCTGGGATGCGACAGCCTTTTGTATGAAGGAATATTTAAATTGCTTCCCGTGAGCCTTTTCAGCCTGCTGTTTGACTAACACTCCCTAAGCACTGGCCACAACCAGCTCAGATAGCCCCTATCTGCAGCCATTGTCTTCCAGGCCCAGGAGTGACCTTTACATTTTTGGAGTCAGTGGGTCACCCTGGGAGCTGGGGGACATTCCTCGGGCACTGGGCAAGGGGCTGTCTCCTGGGCAGGGACCTGCCCATCTTCCCCAAAACACCTGCCCAGGGAGCTTTCCCCCTCTCTTGCTGCCTCCCTCTTTCCCAGACGGGTGCTCCTTGTCCCTGCCTTCACGGTGGGCGCGGAGCAGATCTGGGAACCCGACCTGGCTGCAGACGGATCTCACAGCCACTGGCTAACAGGTGCACCGGGCATGCAGAGCGACGCGTGGCTGGGTGCGGAGTCCCGGCGCAACGCTGGGTTAAGGGGCTCTGGCACAAGTCAGCATTAATCAGCACACACGTAGCATGAGACTAACAAAAGTCCATCGTTAGCAGGCATGGGGCTGTCGGCGTCTCTGTAGAAAGGTGCTCGCACCACACTCCCCAATGCTGCGGGTGCTGCCTGTGGCCCACTCCAGTCCTGTGGTCCCTACCGACAGTCGCAATCTGGTGCCAGCAGGTTCGGTAAAGACACAGTCCAAGTATTACCATAGTTATTTGTCTTGGAAAAAGACGCCAATATTGTCCTGTGAACTTTTTGTCTAGTTTTCTTTTTTTCTTTCACTGCTTGCAACAGGGCAAGAGCATTAAGAGGTGCTTTAATTTCCCAGGGCTGAGTCCATTGGCCCTGTTTAACTGAATGTCACAATTTTCTATCCCGCTGGATTCTCCAGCTTTCTGCCCCAAAACATCTAAATCCTGGACCACATGCTCGGGGTGCTGTGGGAATGCCAGGGACCAGGAGGATGCAATGCAAATCTTAACATCTCAGGACCGCAAATGAAGAATTGGGATCCCCTCGGGTTTTCACCTAATGTCTTGACCCAGATTTTGCAGAACAAATAAACCCTATTTTTCTGACCCTCTGTTCAACAAGGGATGGCCAGAAAAGCAGCAGGGTGCTCAAGCAGCAGATCTGAGCAGAGGTGGCCGAAGCCACCCAAGGGACTCCCAGAAGAATGAGGACACCAAAAAACCCGTGGTCTTGAGGGCAAACCCTGCCTGGGGTGCCCGTCCCCACGCTCCTCTGGCCTGGCCAGGGCAAGCGGCTGGGCTTCCTCCCCGCCACCATCCCCCCCACGCCTCCAACCCTTTTGTTTTTCCCCTTTTCTCTTTGAGCACTGAGCTGTGAGCGCAGAAATCTGAACCTTGCCAAAACGCTTTGGGGACGGCACAGAAAGGAAACAGAAGAGGCAGCAAATCAGCAGAGGAAGGAGGGGGGACGACATCTCCTCCTCCTCCTCCTCTAGCTGGAGAGAGCAACAGACACGAGAAAAGCAGGATTCTCCCCCTCTCCAGCTGGCGTCACACCTCATTAGGGAAAAGCCTGTTTAACGTCTTTCCCTGCCCCCAGCCCAGGACTAAATCCCCCCTGCGTCAGGCAAGGGCTGTCGGGAAGAGGCGGCCGCCGGAGCAAGGGTGACCAGCTCGCCTGAGAGGAGCGCTGGCCTGAAGCAGGGTTAGCCAGGGCGGGCAAGAGGGCACCAACCCGTCCCTCCCCGCTCCCTGGGAAAATGGCTGGCAGGGAAGAGTCGGCAGCCCCATACCTGCCTGCCCCATGCCAGGCACTCTGGCAGGTACGGGTAACCTCTCTGGTGTGCTGTTGGCCAAGGTTTGAGTCCAAAACAAAACGCTGCTCCTCCAGAGCTGCTCTGAGCATGTATTAAACCCCGGTATGGCCTGCGTGTTGTTGCAACTGCTGTTTTGTGCTGCTCTTGACAGCACCCAAGTGCTGTGGCCTCTGTACGTGTGGTGACCCAAGCTCAGCCTTGCCCAAAGTATACTCCTTTTCAGTATCTGCCCCGACTTTTGAGAGGAAAGACGATTGACTTCCCGGATAAAAGTAAACGAATGAGTCCGCAACCATGACAGCAGTGAGACACAGTCACCAACACCAACGCAAAGGTAATGGCAGGGCTGCTGCAGATGCTGGCTTCCTGCACTATGCTGGTCAGATTCCAGCTCCTCACAAACTGTTTCGCTTGGAGGGTGGTGTCGCAAAGTTTGAGGTCCTTGTTTCAGAAGACAGGCTCCTCCAAAGCTGCAGGGAAGGCCAGCACATGCAAGAGCCTGGCGTGAGCAGGCTGTGCGCTAAGGTACAGGACTGCAGTTCAAAGGCCTCCTCTGTGCTGGAGCTGAATCATCTATAACCGAATCTGAGGGACATAACCAGTTTAAGCACAGCTAAGCCTTGTCCAAGTTAGCCATCAGTTTAAAAACCTCAATCCCTTCAGCTCTATTTCCATACCACTGCTGTTATCAGCTTTCCATTGCAATGCTCACAAGTGACTCAACAGGCTTTTGCAGAGGCTTTAGGAGATCACCAAAAGCCCCGACCCATGTGCTGAAATTTCAGTGCAGTCACTGAATAGAGTCAGGACATTCTTTTCCCCTCACAGATAACTAATGACAACAGGTACTTGGGCAAGAGTTAGGCGAATTCATGCAAAAGAGTACAGTTTACCTGGACTGGGCAGGAATATTTGAAGTCAACTGCAGGTCTGAAATGCTTCCAATGAGCGTCATTTACCCCTGCATTGCCTGAAGCCAGAGTGCGTGCTTCTCATCTCTGGCTAGGAGCTCCTGCTGCCTACCCTACCGAAGAGCCAGCCATCGCCTGGCTTTGAGGAGGACACAGAGGCTTGGTGCAGGACCACTGCTCACCCCAACACATCCCAGAGAGGAAAGTGCAGCACCTTCCTTTGAGCAGCACAGCACACCCAGCCGATTCACCCAAAGCAGCAGCAGAAGGTCAATGCAATGAAAAGCGGGATGTGGTCCCAAAGCCGAGGTGGCAGGATCCAGCTACACCACAGGCTGGTGGTGCCAAACCCCACTCTCAGCTTGTTGGTCTGTCGGTGTGTTCAGTCCCTGGGACATGCTCAGCACACCCGCAAAAACCAGGCCCCTGCCCAGC